TCACACTCGCCATGGGCGTACCGTATGTGCTCTCCGCGCGGATGTTCACTCTCGGCGCTACTTTCACATGGTAGAGACTATGGCCGTGAAATCCTCGACCGTCATTCACCCTGGTTTAGCCCATCGTCGGATATATGTACATCACTTCCGTGGCGTCGAATCACCCCGACAGTGGTCGAAGCATTACGAAAAAAGTGGAATGCGTTAAATAAACCACTCTAAAAATGCGTTAGCTCTGGATGCGGTGAAAATTTCAACACTCAATAATTTTTTATACTTAAATTAGACCTAATCACAAAGAGCAGAAAACCCGTGCTCAGCACGATCCCATCAATGGCCTTACCATTGTTAGCCGCCAACACTATCACCCGGCCGAGCCCCCGCTGGAAGCCAGCCTGCCGGAGTCTCTTACAGTGGGCTTTCATTCCAAACAACTCCGTAACACTTTCAGAGAATCTGGAGACTGGATTCGAGATCAGCGTCCGAAAACACAACTCTGAATATAGGTTCATTACAGATGGCCACTTCGACTTGATATCCTTCCCTTGTGAGAAACTATTGTTTTCTGCACCATGAGATCGCCAACATTCAATTTTTAAGATTCGGAAAGCTTAGATTTTCCCATCGCTCACCATTCTACATGCTGTATTAAAGCGAGGGATTGCGATGAGTTTGAACTGTGTTCATAGTGGAAGTGGAGATCCTGAATAATGCCCCAGTGGCGACAAAAGCAAAGAAATCCGTCAAGAGGGCGCAAAATGGGGCCCCTTTCTTTGCCCGTTGACCTCCAATAATGGACGAGCTAGCAACCAATTAGGAGGTCGTTTGCACATGTTATGCTGATAGCCTCTATCATTTCAGCAAGCATCATGCTTTGATTGAGCACGCATCCCATGAAAAGTTATAGGGTACACTTGGAAGTGGAATAACTCGTTACATTAGCAATCGAAGGGCGCTGCTGCTGCGGGCGGAGCACAGACCGTGGCGGGGCTCAGAAAGGAATGGCAAGCCTTGTACGCTGCAATTAGCGCACCTTTGACCACAAAAACGCATCATTTCGTTTCCTTGGGCCCCTGACTACTGCTTCCAATGGTGCATGTACTTCCACGCTACATACGCACTTTATCGTAATCTCTCGCTTAAGTTTTTCTAATTAATGGAAAAACCTTCCACTCTTTCCCTGTATCATAAGTATGTAGACACCTCTCAAAAAACAGAAATATCTTCAGAATTGGAGACTGGTATGCCTACCAAAGATTCTGATAAGTTCAAACATTTTGTTGAGCATGTTTTGAACCAGGATCCCGAACAAGACTATAATGTTCCCTTCCGGCGCTTCCTACCGTAACCCCACACGCGAAAAATTAGCTGTCAGGTTCAGTGCCAATGGTGACGGCGCACATAGGGGACTCTGTCCTATGCGCATATTTGTTTAGCGTGTTGCGGCATGCGCTGCAGTTTCCTCCTGTGAGTTTTGGGTGCACGCAATTGGGGCACGGCAAAACGATTTCTGCTTTGACTTCTTTCGTATACCAAAGTCTTTGGGATTTTCACTCAATCATTCCAGGTTTGCCCCATAGGTAATTCATGCACTTCCAGGTTTGCCCCATAGGTAATTCATTCCCTTTATGTCCAGATATTCTAACCCGCAGAAGGGGCCATACAATGAAACTCAAGTGGCTCCTCACCCACGACGGACGTTGGATTTGGAGAGTAGGGGTTCGAATTCGGTAAAAGGAGTGCAAGTCTCTGCACTGATGATTGTCATGGTGGGAAATACAACTTTTGCATCTCCGCCTTTGTCATCCAGGGTGGTTCCTAACTTGTTTAAGAATTCTGCCGTAACTTATACGCGCTTCCCCTTCACGTAAAGTGCCGCTAGCTATATTATGAGCTCCCCCACCTTTCAGTGGGTATCAGTACGACCCCTCGTATCAGTTATTTATGCATACTCACATAATTTCACACCCAGCATTGATATATGAGCCGTCATCCACGTGGAAGGAGGTGGGCAGTGGGAAGCCAGTACGTTGCGCGCTTTGTCTCACGCAGAGGAATCGAGACAACATGAAGCTTCACTTATTGAACAGAGGAATGGCGACCGTTTCGCATGGACTCGGGTGAATTTCGAGTCGCAAAAATTTTACTTTTAGGAGACTACCAAACTTTCTCCAGACATTCAAATTTCCCTATTTCATCCAATAAAAACTGAACTATTGAAGTACATAACAAACTCTTTATTCGAGAGATACCTTCCATCATATGCAGTTCTATGAAATAGATACGAAAACTTCAAAACTACGGATCATCATTTCCAAAAACTATTCAAACTTCTGCAAATGTTCAACCTTTCAAAAATCGTCCCGCTTTGTTGTTTGTGCACAACGGAGTCTCCGACATTGAAAGATCATAACATTTTGCTGATTTTCAGGGCTACTTATGGTTAGAAACTAGAAGATTAGCGCTTTCATATAAGCGTTACAGCTTGTTGCATGTTTTTTCCTTCTAGTGGATCTTTGAGGCTACTTTCCTGAAACGCAAGTTTTCAACTCTCTTCAGTTTTTTTTATCGCTTCTTTACCATTTTCAAACGCCCAAAAGTTCCTTCGGAAATGGTAAAGAAGCGTTAAAGAAAGGTGAAATCTAAAGATCGGTGCTAAATAGTGAACGCAAGATCCCCCTCAAACTTTGTGAAGGAAACCTTTCTTCTGCCAGAATTTTCGATTAGGACTCTGATAGTCTATACACAGGAGTTGTTGCATGTCCCTCTGATTTGATTTTGCCGAAAGCATCACAGTCCCTCTGGATGAAATTGTTCGCTTGTGCTCACTGGAATATGTCTCCTCTCTTGAATGCACCAATAAATCGTTTGTGAATAGTAGTTGCTATGGTTATTCAAAGTCTGTTCTCTTTCGCCAAATTGCTATGCTCTGGTACCTTACAGTTTCCTGACTGGTACTTGAGCTTACAACTCCCACTTCCATCAACGAAATACGACTCCCTCGTTGTTTTTGGCGCAATGGGCGATTGACTCTGATCATGGGTCAAACGATGAATCCATTTATTAGCTCTTCTCATCTCTTTGAACGATCACCTTGAGAATATGCAACGAAACAAAATAGATCTATTTGCCATGCTGAGGATCATCCTAAAAATCACTCAAACTGATACACGGTGAACACGTCGTCCAAGATTAACCTCTACTCAGCTCTTCAATTATAGAATCTACCAGATTAGTCCCCCGTCAACCGCCGGGACCTTCCTTTCCTGCGCAAGCTTTCTATCCTCCGCTATGGTCTCTTCCTCCTGTGACACCAACACCTGGAAGTGACGCGTATGCAACGCAATGGTGTTTCATATGGTAGAAGGGACACAATCATGATATGACGTGGATTTCGCTTCCCTTCCTCGTCCTCCCTTCGTCCTTCTCTCCACTGCCCTCCAGCGCCACTGCAACACCATGTGGAATGAACGAAAGTGTGCTAAGCAGGTGTTTATATAGCCCCTGAGAGTGTTATACAACTATCTGCTAAAAACATTGATATCTCTAATCTGAAAGCTACCCGATTTGTTAGGGTTGTTTATCCCATGAGCTTCTTCTCACTAACTTCATTTTGCGGACGACACACATACACTACATACACACAATCGCACACCACACACACATACAGATACACAAACCGACACACAAAGTTAGCGCTTTATATAATAGAAGATAACAACAACTGGATTTTGAGACTGCATCACGGTCTCAAGGAAATTGGTGGTTCATCCTTCTGCTAGACACTGTCCAATGCATTTTATTATTAGCAGTCACCAACACCTTTGAGGATGTCATCTCAACACACAGGAAATTCTGTTTATGGAGAACGACATGTGATTCTAACGACTTAAGAGACGACCTCATCTTACCATTCCATTCCGTCTACTTTCGCTTTCTCTCTTTCCCAAGATTACTTCCCATTATTTCTAGTGGGTCGCCGAACTGGTAGGAGACTGAAGTAACGGCAAGGTTTCTTCATTGGGCTCTCTCCAGCCTGGGGCTGATGTATTAGCTGTCAGAACAGCAGGCGAGAGAGGCCAGCCGCCGCCTGTGTCTGCACGCCTTTTATATGACCGGCGCAGACACGGAGCGCTGAGTCATCGCGAACTTCGAGCTTCGCGACCTCCCAAGCCGAAACCAATGGGAAGCGAATTCTGCAAGGGTTTGAGGTCGTTTAGTTTCAAGACAGTACTATAGTTATCACACACAATGCAGGTGTCTCGTATACTATATAATCGACATACGAAAACGGTAAGTAAGACTGACTGGTACATTAACCGAAGTGGACTTCGTGCGTGACTGTGCGAGCCGAATCTTGGATAGTCGATTGAGTTGCTGTGTCCTGGTGTCGTTGAAGCAAGGGATGCTGACGTACATTGTCCATAAGTCCTTAGTTTTTACTCTCTGATTTCTTACAAGAAGCTCCCTTGTCTCGTTCAGAGATTGCACAATTCATTCATTGCACTAAATACATGACAAATTCACGTTAGATACAATGCATGAAGCAAACTATAACTAGATATACGACAAAATAAAGCAGGTGCCGTATACTATTATTCGACATACGAACGTAAGTAAGACTGATGGTACAGAAACTCGAAGGTGGACTTCTGTGCGTAGACTGTGCGAGCCGGAATCTTGAATAGTGCGATTGTAGTTCGTTCCTGTGTCGTTGAAGCAAGGATGCTGACGTAATGTCCATAAAGTTCGTTAGGTTACTCTCTATGTTTCCTTACAGAAGCTCCTTTGTCTTCGTTCAAAGAGAGCACTTCATTCATTGCACTAATACATGCAAATCAACGTTAGATAACAATGACATGAAGCAAAACATTAACGACGTCGTTCGATTAACAAATTTTAATAAGAACTTTACCTCACTAAGGAAAACTTTTTGCTAAACAATTTCACACCCCGGAATCCTACGGTTCCAATCGCCATTTCAAAAGAACTTCAGAAAATCACTTTGGGAAGTGATAGATGCAGAATGCTGCATGGTGTTTTGCCTTTTCTGTTTCCCTTTTTGCCTTCTTACAATAAAAACAGAGTGCCTGCGATGGGCAGTCAGTAGATGAGTGATCAACGGTATACAAGCACCGTGTACATTTGCCTAATTCTTTCGCTCGTTGATCACGGGCGGTCAATGTTTCATAAACAGTACATTGAGTTGCGAAATGGGTGCCATTGCAAAACAAGCAAGTCTTACGATTACTAGATCTTTGTTGCATGGCCGTATTGCTTGAACGAGAGCAGCTTGCGAGTAATTCGTCGTTTTTGCCGATAGTCTTCTGCAATTGTCCCTCGATGTACTCCAAGCGTTCGTCGATTGATTCGAGTATTTCCTTAAATTGAGTAATAAGGTTTCAGAAGCCACAAGAATTCCCGGTGAATTTCAAACGTAAAGTCATTTTACTTACGTGTACCTTAAGTCTCTTTTTTTCTGATCCCTGTTTCTGCTCTTCATTTTTTCCTCTTTTTCGCCTACTGTGTTGCTTTTCCTTAATTTCAAAATGTTGCGAAAGTGTTGCAGGAGTATATTCTTATGATCAAAGCTTATGTTTTTTCCCTATAGTAACCGCAAAAATCGGAAAGGTTCTAAATGTTACCGTGTGGTATTCGGTGGTGTCTTCCAGCCGATCTAATTTCACCGTGATTCTTGCCAATTGTTTTGCACTTCCTTTTCCTTGCCAGTGAACGTTTCAATTGGAAGGTTACCGTAGTCAGGTGCTTCGGGCAAAAGGTGGAGGCCGCAGGCGTCCTCGTGCTCCGAGTCGCTTTCCAGAGGAGGAGCCGTTTGCGGCTCTTTATTGGGCGCGGGTGGCTTTTCTTCGCTCATCTGAAATTGCTATTAATAATTTACCTTATTACTTTACTTTTGAGGTGATTAAGGGATAGCGACTAGAGAAACACCTTTAGAAAATGCTCGCGCACTTTCGGCAGGTGTTGTACAACATTGATAGAATGAGGCACCATAATTTTCTTAAGCAGCTGAGGAAAAGGAAGAAGAGACGCAAGATGATGTGTACGGGTGTCAGAGCGACGAATGGTTTTTTTGCGCTTGTTGAAACGTTGGACGAGCAGGCTAGGAGATATGTTATCGAGATAAGTAATGCCGTTGCGAGAGCTGCGAAGACGAAGAATGTGTAAAGGAAATATCGCTTACAGACATTAAGGAAATGAGCGATGTCAGGAAGTGCTACTAGGAAGTCTCCTGTAGGATCACTAGTGTTACCTTTTGTGTACAGGTACGGTAAGAACGGTGGGATTCCGCGAATGTAATTCAGCGTAGTTTCCAATTGAAAGAATGTTAATTTATTACCACAGTTTACTTCGCACTGTTCTTTCACTTGAGCTGTGTTGAAGAAAAGTTTTATTATGTTTGCTGTGCCGTCTTGCGAGCAGCGCAAGCTGAAAGTTTGAGTATTACATGAAACCTGTGCGAGGGCATTGGGGAGGTCTGAGTAGCACACAATTTCAGTAATTGCGCCTGGTATGCATTTGTAGCATCCTTTGATGGAAAGGACTGCTACATTGCACGTAAATTCCTCGATTTCTTCTTTCATTGCCATTACCGAGCTATTAAATAATATTGCGATTTCAACACTAGCGGTTGCTGTTCTTACTGTGGGTACTTTGTTTATTCCTTCCGTTTTTACTATTCCATTCGGTATCGAGAGGGGGAGGATGTGTGAAAGTTTTGTCATTTCTGTGACGTTATTGTTTGAACAATAACAATTTACCATATCTTCCGCTGGGTTACAATTGCACGTGTCCTTTATCTTGCACTGATCTTGTTTCTCTCTTACCAATGTTGGATGCAAGGAGCACGCGTAAGAAAATGCGACTTCATTGTCGAGGTAAGCTACGTATTTCCCATTACTTATAAAGCGTTTGGTAAGAATTGCCATTGGGTTCGTAATTACTGAAGTTATTCGATTTCCGTATTTCCGATATGTTTTATGCTGTGGGGCTTTATTTCCACATCGTACGTTATGGGGTTTCTATTGCCTTTGAATTCTTCGAAGGTTAACCTTATTGTGGTAAACCAGGACGAACATTCAAATATTTCAAAAATTTCCTCGTCTGTCGGGACGTGATAGATCCTGTAGAATAAGCATCCTGAGGAGGGGAATCCACAAGTGCATCCAAGCCCTCCACAAGACTCGCTACAGTAGGTGATTCCCGTAAAATTGTTTGCTGCTTCCAATTCTTTTACCAAAGTTTCTGGTCTGACGTCCGCACATTTACTACCCTTGCAAGATCCCATATGAGGGCATTTTTTCTGGTATTGTATATTAACTTTTGTATTCCGTGTGTAATATAGCGTTTCCTGTTTGCATCTAAGAACTGCTTCCTTCAGCATACTCTAAGTGCGTGGTGTAAGTTGTTCCCATGCTGAAGTTTTAGGCACAACTCTGGTTGCAAGGGGTTCAGTTTTGCCACAATGCTTTTGTGAGCACTACAGTTTCCTTCCCTAAAAAGACACTGGGATATTTCCGATGGGATAATCACCACTTGCTGACAACTGGAAGCAAAGCGCATTAGAGTTACGATGGCTAATATTCTTAAAATGTTAGAAGCTGCCCATTTTCTGTGTCCTCTATTTCCGATTTCCACTAAGGGGATGTATTCTATACGATTGTCTTTTGCTCGACAGAGGTTGCATATGCTTGAACAAATTTCCTTTCCGCCACACACCAACTTACTAAAGACATTCGCCAAAATTCTCCCTATTTTCCTGGAAATGGCAAGTAGCAAAAATATTGTCATTGCCGCAACGTAAATTACTATTCCAGTAATTGCTATTGCTAGCCGTGGCCAGCATTCTGGGTTGGCAATCATGACTGAACAAAAGTTACAGTCAATTTGCTCACAGAAAGGGCTAGCTGGACAAGCCCAATGTGAAGAATCAGTTATATTACCTTGGAGTGTTTTCACGGACACCTGATATGTGTGTAGGATTACTTCAGGTGGAAATTGAAGCATTAGCTGTTCGCTAGGTTGTTTTATTTCCATACAATGATCGTTTCCACATACTTCTATTTCCTTAGTTTCTTTAATTAGGTGTACTTGAACGCCACCTTTTATGCATATTATTCTCGTATCATTTCCTTTGGGTTGCGTAGCGCATACGCAGTTCACTATAATTGCGGCCATGATGCAGTATTTCCATCCGTTGAACGATGGAGGTGCGCTTGTCGACCTCGATCGATATGTCGATGTGTGGTTAGCATACGTTACATGTTTCTTTGCTTCTCGCGGTAGAAACGTTCTCGTTCGTTTCATTGTGTCGAGGGGTCGCTGCCCTGATGACTCACAAATCGTATTTTTCGATTTCGGCGAGCTATTTTCCTTGTGTTGTTGTTTTTCCTCGTTTTTCGAGAACTTCGGTAAGTCTCTTTCTTTTCCTTCGTCATGGTTATCGAGTTCTAGCGGTATGAGCATATTTATCGATCTCTCAATCATTGATTTGCCCGTTTTCAATTTAACCGAACGAACTGCGTTGTCTGGGTCTCGTATGAGTTCAACGACAAGTCCCAATTGCCAGTCTCTTCGTGGCACTTCTTCGTCTGTTATGAAAACGATTTCACCTACTCTTGGGTGTTTCCTTGTAAATGTTTTTTGATTGATGCGGGTTTGGTGGAAATTTCTTAGTTCCAATAAGTAGTTTGCTATCCAAGCTTTCCATAACTGCTCTAGAGAGGAACGAATTGCTTCAGCATATTCGATTGCTTTTTCCTTTGTGGAAATGGTGGGGAAGGAATTTTTTGTCTTCGTTGTTTTCCAAAGTTACGTCTGAAGGGGGAAACACCAAGGTTACGTTCGCCTGGGGAATAAGAAAATCTATTGGACGTAATACAGTTGCATCGTCTAGCGTGCTTCCCAAATATGTTAAAGGTCTTGAGTTTACCATTGCCTCACATTCGACGACGAGAGTATAAAAGTCGTTTTCATTCAGGATCCTTTTCCCAACACTTTTTCTCAACGCTGCTTTCATTACCCCAATAATTCTTTCATAGAACCCACCTTTCCAGGGGGAAAGCGGAGTAATGAATTTTCAGGTGATGGTTTCTTCTGTAAGGAAGTTGTTTAGTATTTTATCTCGTTTTGACGTGTTGTTATCGATCGCGGTGATGATTTCTTGCCCCATCTTTAAATTCGTTGCGTTGTCTGACACGATTGTTTTCGGTTTTCCTCTTCTCGCTATGAATCGGCGCAAGCAATTGATTAACTGTAGAGCACCGAGGTTGTTTACAATTTCCAGATGAACGGCGCGTGTTACCATGCATGTGGCTAAACAAATCCATCGCTTATGTCTTTCCTTTCCAGTATCGATTACCTCAAAGGGTCCCGCAAGATCGATGCCAATGTTATTGAAGGCACGGCTTGGTTCAACGCGGGATTTTGGCAACGAAGGAGATTCAGGATAGAAGTAAGGTTTTCCATTCCATCTTTTGCAGATGATGCATTTATTTATGCATTGCTTTACCACCCGTCTTCCTTTTGGTATCCAGAACTTTACCCTTATGTTTGCCAAAGTCCCGTTCACGCCTTGGTGACCGCAGCGCTTATGTATATCTCGTATAATAAGCGCTGTTAGGGGGTGTGCAGGGAGGATTCCAAGGTTTCCCTAGAGAGATATTGAGCCCGAATTCTTCCTTTGCATCGAATGATGCCGTTTTCGTCTTTGCTGAGATTTAGCTCTTTCCATTTTCTAAATTGCTCAGAAGTTATTTGCTTCTGCATTAGCCGAATAATGAGTCTTTCAGCGATTTCAACATCGTTTGCTCGAATGGTAGACAATGGAAGGGACGATGTGTCAACAGACAATTCAGGTATGGTTTCCTTTAGCCGAGATTGATGTTCACGACTGATTTTGTCATGTACTTTCCTTTTAATGAATTTCAAAACAATTGCCGCTACTCTTCGGCACTGACTAAATGAGGAGTATTGTCTATGTAAAAAGGCATTCATGGTCGGTGAGGCCTCTATTTTGGAGTTTGTCAAATGTACCTTTTCTAAAGAGGTTGTTCCTTCATCATTTTCGTTAGTTAAGACTTCCTTTGACCACATGAATTCCTGCAAGTCCGGCCATTTTTGACTGGGTTGAGTAAGGAATTCAGGTCCGCTCCACCATATGTGTTCCTTCAATTGTTCTTTTCTGAGGCCTCTTGTGGCACAGTCAGCGGGATTGAGGTGTGAGGGAATGTAGTGGAGGTGTACGGATGTTCCGTTTCCCTTCCAAGTTTCCAAATTCCTTCTTATTTCCCTACATCTGTTATCGATAAAAGTTCCATTCTTGGACTGAGATTGCAACCAATGTAATGGCACTTGAGAGTCGCTGTAAATTCGTATGCTTTCAATGTGCAACGAAATTTCCTTCGGCACGAAGCTTGTTAGTCGGATTCCGATGAGTAACGCCAAGAGTTCCAGCCTCGGTATTGTTAGATGTTTGCCTTTTTCCTTTAATGGTGCAAGTCTATGGCGGGCCATAACTATCGAGCTGTGGCTAGTAGAAGATTCGTCTGTTCTTCTCAGGTATGTCACAGCAGCATACGATCTTTCCGATGCGTCCACGAATGTGTGTAATTCGTAGACGTCGTTTGACGTGTTCGGAGTGATTGCCCGAGGGAGCGTTACTTCATATCCGTCTATGTTTCCGGTAATCTGCTTCCATTCTTGATCATGATGGTATGATATGGGATCGTCCCATTCATAGTTTGCTTTCCATAAGTCTTGTAGAAATACCTTTACTGGTAGAATTAGAGGTACTAGAAGACCTAGCGGGTCAAATGTCGAGTGTGCTGACTGAAGGATTTTTCTTTTGCTTGGATTTTCCTTGTACTTTATTTTACATTTGATGGTGAGGGTGTCATCTGAGGGCGTCCACGGAATTCCTAGAATTCTGTGGCTTTTACCTTTGGCCAGGTCTGGTTCAGAAATTGCTTGATTGCATTGCTTGTCATTTGTCATGAACTGCCGCAGATTCATGGACAAGCAAGAGAAGGTTTCCTTGCAGGCTTCATATTTCCTATACAAGGAATCAGTACTAGTGTCTGTCATCATTACATTGTCGACATAGAGGTTGCGTTTGAGTTCCTCATAGATTTTCTTGCCAAACTTTTTCTGTTGTGCAATTCCGTACTGAATAGAAATTCCTAGTAGGAACGGTGAGGCATTGACTCCGAAAGGTAGTCGACAAAACCGCAAAATGCGGATATTTTCCGGAGAGGGGGCTTATTGGTATCTTTCAGCCATAAAAATCTTACCGAATCACGCTCCGTTTCGTTAAGATGGATCATGTGAAAGGCTTTTTCCACATCTGCTATCATTACCTTTGATCCAATTCGTGACCGTAACAGTATACCACACAGATCCGGCAGGAGTAGGGGTCCCTGGTGAATCACATCGTTCAGACTGAGCTCTCCTTTTCTTTTAGAGGATGCGTCCAATACGATGCGAATTTTTGTGGTTTCACTATTTTCTTTGATTACTGCTTGATGAGGAATATAATAACATGGGTTTTCTCCGCTCGGTATTTCCGGTGCGTCTTCGACAAACGCTTTATGAATTTGTTCGTCTATAATTTCACAACAAGATTTCCATGAAGTCGGGTTATTAATGTTCATTTTGAACAATTGATGCAATCTGCTCATAGCGAGGCTGTAATTATCTGCTAAGTCTTTCTTATTGTCTTTCCAAGGGAGTTTTACGTATATTCTGTTCTCTCGTATCTCAACATCGGAGTAAAATTTGTCGATGATTTGTTTCTGCTCCTCTTCCTCATTTCCACGATCGTATATTCCCACATTCTGAAGTTTCCAAAGATACGAGTAATCTTCGTTCCTATTTCCCTCATTTGGAATGCTTATTTTCGTGGCAATTTCATTGAACGCTTCGTAGTCTTCTTGCGCTTGGTGGGCTCCAGAGATCACTGGACCGAAGATCGTCGGTGTTACAAATAACCCGGAAGGGAGGCGCAAAATGGGTTCATCTATTTTTACCACATCGTAGAAATAATCAATCCCTAGCAGGATTTCCGGCTGGAATTGCTTTCCGCTAAGAAGTGAAGTGGCACTTTCGGGGAAATAGTTTCGAAGGGTTTCAATGTCAATTTCCGGTATATTGTTTGTTTCCATTGTTGAGGTAATCTTTTCATGCGTAAGCAAGCTCACGGACATTATTTCACCTTCGGAAGTGAGAAGTGATAAGTTCACCTTATGGACGTGCTTCGTTTCCGCTTTACCACCGAATGTTGTTACGGTGATTAATTTTTCCATATCGGCGTCAATTTCAGACGAGAAACTAGGGATGCTGCAACAAATGATCTGTCTGATGCTGAGTCTAGTAATGCATACGCTAATTCCGTTTCTTTCGTTTCTTCATTGCGGACGTGTACCTGGGCTGTCATAAGGCGGCTACTATTGTTTGCCTCCCCATTTCCGTTGTAGAGGATAACACTGCCTTTTCCTTCATTTCCTTGCTCAGTCTGTATATTGTGAACAAAATTACGAGTCGGTGTTGGTGAGCGAGAGAATCTGACCCCGCGAGATTGTTTTCTTAATTTTGGTGGAGGTGACTGATAAGATGACATACCTTTTTTATGTCGTTCCTCTTTATTGAAGTAACGAGGAGAGCTAGAACGGCTACCGTTGTATGTCCGAGATGTCCTCAGATTTANAGTGCTGGCGTCGCGAAAAAATGCCTTGCTTCGTAGTCTCGAGTGGGAGAGCGATGTCCAAGGCTCTAAATGGTATCCGTTGAGAAGAGGAGCTTCGTGCCCTATTACTCTTTTATCTTCAAATTGGCACAGAACGCGGGGGTGATGGTCTACCACACCGTGGGCAGGGGTTCTGCGCGCAAGCTCTTGTTCGATGGTTCCCACTGAAGCATTTCCAGCACAAGTTTAGTGATTTCATACGGTCTATTTTTTGCTGAGGGGTTACGTATTTCTGGACATTCCAGGAATTTGTGGTTTTGGTTGCAGCCTACACATCGAATATTGTTACTTGTTCGAGTATGAAAGGTTGATGCCTCTTCAGCTCTAGAGATTTCCTTACGATTTTCCAGGAATTCTTGACGTTTGATTATTATGGACAAGTTTTCTAATAATTCATCCATATTCCATTGTCTTTCAGAATCAAATTCTTTCCTTGCAACCTCTTTCTGAACTTTACGGGAGAAGGTTTCTGTTACGAGACCAATCATGTGGGTAGTATCTACTATTTCTCCCTGACGTCGAAGAGTGGCTATCACCGCCTGAACGTCATTCAAAGTGTTTCTTAGTGACCTGGGGTCGTCCCTAGATTTCCTCATGGTTTTCAGTTTTCCGATCATTTCCATAGTAACTCTTTGTGGATCTTTGTATTGTTTTTTCAACTGCTCAACTGCTTTACCATAGGAGTCGCCTGTCCTTGGGATCATTTGGATCGTTCTTGCCGCATCTCCTGTGCAGCAGTTAATCAATATTGGAAACTTCTCAATATTCGAGTAAGGTTGCTTGTCAACTAATTCCTCAAACAATTCCCAAAATGAATCAAAATCGGAAGCCTTCCCACTGAATTCCGGAATTTTCAATTCATTACCTAGTAGGCGTCTATCTAGTGCACGCCATAAGTTGTCCAATGTATTACGTGTTTCAAGGCTTGCTGAATTGGGATTTACTATGGGTATTTCCGATGTTACGTGTGGCGGGCTCTCACTCAAAGGGTTTGCCACTACCTGTGGTAGGGTTATCTGGCCCACATGGTGTGGCTGTTGACTCATTTCCTGCTGGACTGAGGCGCTCTGGCATCTAAGTTCTACCAGTCGCTTCTCTAATAACCGTAACTGCTTTTCTGCTTCTTCGAGTACTTCTTCCCCATTCTTTGATTTCCAGTACTCGTCGAACTCATCGATTGTTTCTTTCTCATCACTGCTCTTTATTTCCGTCAATATATTACTGCGAGCCTCAACGGTTTCTTGGTACAAGACTGAAATTGATTCTTTCTGTTTTTCTAGCTTGCCATGCAATTCTTGCACCATTATGGTTTTTGTTGCCAAAAACTGTAGTATTTCCTTAAGGGTTACAGGGAACTGCCATGGAGCTTGATAATCCAAGGCTTCGATGATAAGGCCGTTAAGGTTGTTAAGCTGTCTTGTCAACTTTTGCTTAACCCCTTTCAGGCTGGATGCTGGGTTCGCTGACGACATACTTCGACGCTTGGCGCGCAGCGAATGACAGATGGAGGCTTGAAGGATGTCGGGTATATATGTGTCTATGTTCAACATCGTCTCGCAGATAAACATTTTTTGATCTTCGCGAGCATTTTCTTGTTATGTAAAAACATTTCCTCACATGTTGTGGGAGGCGAGCCGTGGTGACTCAGTCTGGTATTCAGTGAATGTTTTGAACCCCTTTCAACTGGGTTTTGAATCTTTTTCCCTTTGCTATGCAAACTTTGTCT